AAACTAAAAATCACTCACTTATTGTGATAAAAATCAACTGAAAAAGTCTCGTCCTTTGAAGGTAACACTGTATAAAACAACAGACCAAAAAAGAGATGAGTTCATTGTCACAAACTATGATGTTTCAATATGCTTATACCTATGCAACCCGATGTTATAAAACTTTTAATATTTCAATCTATGAAATCTATAAGATCAAACAGTTATACTATTACCAGGTTGCAAAGATTTAGGGATGAGAATATTTGAGTTAGTGACAAGAACTCAGTAACTTTTGGTAGAATTTTATTAACCAGTGGATAAAACGAAATAACCTTTTAAAAAAATATCTTAAAATCAAATATTTGTTTACCTTTGTCCGACGTTTGTACTGGTCCGTCGTTTGTACTGTCTGACGTTTGTCCTGGTACGACATTTGTACTGTCCGACGTTTGTAAGTCTTAGGTTTGTACCGTCCGACGTTTGTGGGTCCAACGTTTGTACTGGTACCTTCTTGAATTGTATATCAGATTTTTCAGTATATTTCTCTGAAAAATGAGAGACTTTTGAAGTTTCAAGGAGTACTTTAGTTTCCATGCATACAGTTGCCATTCATATAAAACACATTTCATAAAATACAAAATCATTGACTTTCATAGCTGGGATACTTTAGGTAAGATATTTCATAAAAAGAAACAAATCTGTTAATGCTTCTATTGGAAAAAAAGAAAATTTAGGGGAAAGGAAATAATGCACTTTATCTATGAAAAATCTTTTTTGTCTATGAAAGTTATTCCCACTGACTATTATTATCTAATTCCTATATATTTTCAAACTTATTTTATAGACCTTAGATATTTCAAACTATAGATTCTGTTGGATCAAATAATCTAAGTAGGAAATATTAAAGGTTTACAATATTATGTTAGAAAATATAAGTTTGTGGCAAAGCCTCAATTCCTTTGTGAATGTCCTGGCGATGTCAATCTATATAATTTCCAAAACATGTCTTATCTATAAAATATCTATGAAATGCCCAGTGTGTATGAAATTTCTTATGCGAAATGTCCTGTCTATGACCTATCCATAAATTGTCCTTTCTACGAAATGTCATATCTATTAAATGGCCTGTCTAATGTCTATAGCATGTCTATGAAGTTTTATCCATGACTATTTGAAATGAATTTCGGAATTTAATTAATTTTTGGGAGAAAAGAAATAAATTTTAGGAAGCTTTAAAAATTTATTGCATAGGAAAATAAGCAAAATGTTTTTTTTTCAAAATTGAAAATAAAATTCACACATTTTCACCGTGATCATTTATTTCATAAAAACTCCCCGGCAAGATTCTAAGGTTATTTCTATAATAAAGCTGAGAGCAAAGTTGTGGAAATGAAAAACTTAAATAATTTCCTCTGAATCCTTTTCTAGTGTAGGTTCTGTGTGTTATATCTATATATTAGTTTTAATCTAATTCTAGGTAAATAATTTATAAGTTTCCAGCTTCCGACATCTGCCAACTAGAGTAAAACTCTCCTGTAATCCAGGGGTACATCCCCCCCATCTTCCATCTGCCAACTAAAGTCAAGCTCTTACTCAATTCACCCCAAATTTTCCACCTACCAACTAAAGTCTAGCTCTCCTGAAATCCAAGGGCGCATCCCCCCCATCTTCCATCTGCCAACTAGAGTCAAACTCTCCTGTAATCCAGGGGTGCCTCCCCCCCACCCCCATCTTCCATCTGCCAACTAGAGTCAAGCTATCTTTAGGCGACTGTCGCCGTGCTTTAAGCATTCCTTATTCACAAAACTACCCAATTAATTCTAAAGGGTTCCTTCAAGTAAAGAGAAAAATTTATCTATAATAATTATATATATGATTCAGGAAATCTTTAAAAAGTATGCGTTAACTGTTGAGAGGTTCATCAAAAACTATACAATTACAATCTTTTCTGGAATTATTATGAGGAGGTTGCGTGATTTTCATATCAAGGCAAAAAAGTTTAAACTTCATAAGTTGTATTTATTATATACAATCATTGAAGCCTGGGGACAATAAGACAATGCAGTCATTAAAGTTTATAGACAATAAGACAACCAATTATAGAAGTCTGTGGACAATAAGACAACCAGGCATCAAAGTCTGTTGACAATAAGACAATTAGACATTGAAGTCTGTTGACAATAAGACAATTAGACATTGAAGTCTGTTGACAATAAGACAACTAGCCATTGAAGTCTGTGGACAATAAAACAACCAGACATTGAAGTCTGTTGACAATAAGACAACCAGACATTGAAGTCTGTTGACAATAAGACAACCAGACATTGAAGTCTGTTGACAATAAGACAACCAGACATTGAAGTCTGTTGACAATAAGACAACCAGACATTGAAGTCTGTTGACAATAAGACAACCAGACATTGAAGTCTGTAGATAATAAGACAACTAGCCATTGAAGTTTAAAGACAATCAGTCAGAGAAGTTTGTGGATAATATTTAGATAGATAATTATTTATAAAAAATTTTACATCTTTTTTATTGTCTTGTTGCATATTTTTTTCTAACATAAAGCTTCCTAAATTCCACTAGAAATATGATCTTCAACATAGAAGATTAAAATTTCATATTTTACTTAGTTTAAAGATCAAAATAATGGATTTAAATCTTTAAAGATTATTGGTTGAATAAAAATTCTTGTTAAAACGAAAATAAAACGTACACAACGAAAAACATGGAAAAAATACGATATTTTTCCTAGATAAAGATTAAGGGACTTAAAAGGTACTGTTTGCATAATTTCAAATGACTCAGTTAGAAAATATATTAACTCCATCTTGACAATTGCTAAATGGGTACTGTTGTAAATCGGACAGGTAACTCTTCAGATGAAAAGTCAATGAAAATTAGGTCTACGGTTCCCTTAATGTGCCCCGCCAAATGTTTTCTTCACTTGAAGAGTTATTTTTAGATATTGTTTGTATTCTCATTATTTATCATCGTTATTCATTTTCCAAGTGAAAAATCCAATTTCCCAAGTATATGAGGATACATCAAAACTTTTAGCATAAAAAATAGATATATCTTCTGGTCTCGGTAATCATTAGGATAAAAACTATCTTTAATAAAAGTCTGTACAAGGATTACAAGGATATGAAATATATTAAAGGGATTATAAGCGTAGTTTTAAGTGACCTTCCATGCAACGATAGCAATGTCCGATTTACAATGGAACCCTCAAAACCTGCAGAATGTAATCAATAATGTGGAAGAAAAAGTCGTTTTTCAGACTTGTAAAGAGTTTATTTCTATGAATTTCTCTATTGTTTTTGATAAGCAAGATTTGCGCAAGTCACTTTCACGGAGAACCCACAAGTGAAAATAAACATTTTGATAAAACAAAAAACATGAATTCTTAATTCACAACTTGATCAGACACAGCTGTAAAGGGTACTGTAGTTAATCGGACATTGTCATCTGCACAGGGAGAATCATTTGGACATTGTCATTTGCACAGGGAGAATCATTTGGACATTGTCATCTGCACAGGGAGAATCATTTGGACATTGTCATCTGCACAGGGAGAATCATTTGGACATTGTCATCTGCACAGGGAGAATCATTTGGACATTGTCATCTGCACAGGGAGAATCATTTNAGAAAACTATTTGAAACAGTTTTGAAAATACATGTTTGATTAATTGAAGTAAAGATAAAAAGATAACAAGAGAAAGTTTGGAAAGTGAATCTTCAAAATCCCCCCCAAGATTACTGAACATCTGGACATTTATGTATTGTACTGCATAACCTCCACAGTCCAACACTTCCCAAACCAAATGCTGCCACCTGTTATTCTATATTATATATATTCTGAGATTCAAATATATTTACCAGTAGCTTGTAAATTTAAATAGGTTTACCAGTAGCTTGTAAATTTAAATAGGTTTACCAGTAGCTTGTAAATTTAAATAGTTTACCAGTAGCTTGAAAATTTAAATAGTTTTACCAGTAGCTTGTAAATTTAAATAGTTTTACCAGTAGCTTGTAAATTTAAACAGGTTTACCAGTAGCTTGTAAATTTAAATAGTTTTACAAGTAGCTTGTAAATTTAAATATATTTACCAGTAGCTTGTAAATTTAAATATATTTACCAGTAAATTGACAATTTAAATAGTTTTACCAGTAGCTTGTAAATTTAAATGGTTTTACCAGTAGCTTGTAAATTTAAATAGTTTTACCAGTAGTTTGTAAATTTAAATATATTTACCAGTAGCTTGTAAATTTAATAGTTTTACCAGTAGCTTGTAAATTTAAATAGTTTTACCAGTAGCTTGTAAATTTAATAGTTTTACCAGTAGCTTGAAAATTTAAATAGTTTTACCAGTATAGCTTGTAAATTTAAATGTTTTTACCAGTAGCTTGAAAATTAAATTATCTTGAGAAGTGGGTCTGCGAACTATGCACAATTGCTGTGTTCTATGTTCATTCGATTATTATTCTAACTTGAGTCGTGATTTACTGGATAAAATGCCTTTTCCTTCAGGTATTGAACAGTTTTGAGACGCTCATGGGGCTCGCTGGTTACTTCCGCTAATTTTAGGAAATAATAAATACTATTTACTTAGTTTTTAAGTAGCATGAGAAATAAGTTATGTTCAATAATTTCATATAATAATTATTTTCCCTACTCTGATGAATTAATGGTGTCCTCCCATTCCAAACCTACAGGGTGTCCCACGAAACATGTCATTCGGTGAATAGTTTTGAATGTCTTCTTATATATACTGTATTAGATATTTAAGATTTTTTGCCGTTCATTTCGTTAAAAAATCTTTTATTCAAATATACTTTACTTTAAAATCAATTTTACTATAATATTATTGCCACATAATAGTTTTTCATTATTCTCTTTGGTTTCAAACAATTTAACAAATTATGGAAGAAGACATTTAAATTATTCACCAACTGTCATGTTTCGTGGGACACTCTGTCTGTACGTATGAAAATGGGCGCGACGCGCATAAAATTTCTTGTATTTTATTCTCTTGAAGTTTATATTTACATCAAATTCTCTAATTTCACAGGATTCTGAACATTCTGCTACAGTTAAAGATAAACAAGGTTTACCAGAATTAACACTGATAAAAAAAACACAATGTGTACCAGAATAAACAGTGATGAAAAATAATACACCAGGTGTACCAGAATAAACAGTGATGAAAAATAATACACCAGGTGTACCAGAATAAATAGTAATGAAAAATAATACACCGGGTGTACCAGAATAAAAAGGGAGAAAAAATAATACACCAGGTGTACCAGAATAGACAGTGATGAAAAATAATACACCGGGTGTACCAGAATAAACAGTGATGACAAAATAATACACCAGTTGTACCAGAATAAAAAGGGAGAAAAAATAATACACCAGGTGTACCAGAATAAAAAGGGAGAAAAAATAATACACCAGGTGTACCAGAATAAACAGTGATGAAAAATAATACACCAGGTGTACCAGAATAAACAGTAATGAAAAATAATACACCGGGTGTACCAGAATAAACAGTGATGACAAAATAATACACCAGTTGTACCAGAATAAACAGTGATGCAGATATAAAATTTTAACAGTTCTTTCTCCTTAAGTCAACGCATTTTGCTTAAAGCAGTCAGTTATATATGATATATGATATCCATGGGGCATAGATAATGGTTATTTGATAGCAGTCGTTTGATAAAAATCATTTAAATAATTGTTTACAATTACATGTGCGATTTAAAAATATTTTCAAATTCTAAATCCTTGACATCACTTTTCGCTGTTAAGTCCTGTGAAAAATTGTTATTATAAAATGATTAAATTTGAAACAAAATTCCAAACACGAAAATGAAAGAATTGAATCTTTTTCATTTACAATGACTTTAAAACAAATGAATTTAAGTGACTAGGAATTTGAAAAAAAGTTTCAACTTAGAGAATTTTTTATCCTTGTAGGTTTCTGATTCTGTTCTTGTTTTTATTAAAATAATAAAATTGTCAATTAAAAGTCAGAATTTTTATGTTTTGAATCTCAGGATCTAGCATTGATTTTCTTTTTATACAAACCTACGGACGAATTTAATTCCTTTCATCATACCTTGGGAATAAGTTTGGTTTTAGGTATTTTTGCGAATTTTACGAAATATTACGAAATTTTTGATTCGTATTATAATGAATTGAACAACCTTGCATAAGGAAATTTGAAAAAGGATCATCACAGTTTTGTAATATCTGAGCTGAAAACTTTAGAATGGGATATCCTTATTCGCGATCTGTTAATTAATCTGGAGATTAAATTCATGAGGAGAACAAGCAATATATAATCCGGAGATTAAGAAAAAGAGTGGATCAAGCATTAATCCCGATATCCACTATTCTAAAGTTCCCAGCTCAGGTCCAACTTTGGTTTAAATCCTCTCAGCTAAATCCAATTTATACTTTTGCCTAGGATAATAAAGATTGGTTTTAATTTTGTTTTTAATGGCGCATTTGGCAAAATATTTTTACATTTTCAAGTCAGATCGTAGATCAAAGTTAAGTGCTACATTCATAATAAAGATTTCTTGCAAATCAGAAGATTTCGTTTCAAATTTTAGACCCAAACTATCTAATCCCCATATCTTTGTAACCCACTAATGTAAACCTTTTATGAAACTTAGATTATTTCAACTATCAGAATTCATGGTTTAAAATATCTAAGGTCTATGACATTGTGTTTCAAAGATATAGTAATTAAAAAGTCAGAGCTTGTGGCAAAGACTCAATTCCTTTAAAAGATTTTAACAGCTCAGGTCCAACTTTGGTTTAAATCCTCTCAGCTAAATCCAATTTATACTTTTGCCTAGGATAATAAAGATTGGTTTTAATTTTGTTTTTAATGGCGCATTTGGCAAAATATTTTTACATTTTCAAGTCAGATCGTAGATCAAAGTTAAGTGCTACATTCATAATAAAGATTTCTTGCAAATCAGAAGATTTCGTTTCAAATTTTAGACCCAAACTATCTAATCCCCATATCTTTGTAACCCACTAATGTAAACCTTTTATGAAACTTAGATTATTTCAACTAACAGAATTCATGGTTTAAAATATCTAAGGTCTATGACATTGTGTTTCAAAGATATAGTAATTAAAAAGTCAGAGCTTGTGGCAAAGACTCAATTCCTTTAAAAGATTTTAAGATTTCAACTGCGAACATGAATTGATTTCCTTAAGAGCTGTTACAAAATGTAATATGACACCAACAGTTGTCTACATGAAAAAACTAAACATTTTTAACATTTTCTGTGATATCGTATTTTTTGCAAATATTCTGTAAATCTTTGGTGCAAATTTTAAGTCATCTAAATATTTGTTGCAAATTTCTATGAATATTTTGTGCAAATATTATGTTAATATTGCAAAAGTTCTGTGAATATTTGGTGCACATATTCTGTAAATATATGTTGCATCAAACAAATATGATTATAAAATTTTATTTTATCAAACCAACGCTATACCTTTAGAAGATGTTTCAATAAACATGGGAATGTAATGACGACTTCTATATTGTCTTTGTTCCCTGCGGGATTATTTCGTTAATATAATTTTGTATCAGAGTTAAAACATTTAACAACGTAAACTAGTAGTCTCGGGATTTACAAAATTTGGTCTACCATTTTCACCTTCAAAAATTGACGGAGATATTTTTAGGAAGTTTGTTCAGATTCCAGTTAATTAGAAATCCAATGTTAAAATGCTTAATATCTCCGTCAGTTTTGAAGTTACATGGAAGGAGACCTCATTTTGGAAAACTATCAACCTTTTTTGATACACTTTATGCCATTTATCAATTATCGGAAATCAAAGACGATATTCAAGCCGTCTCTCAATTCCCATGTTTATTGGGACACGCTGAAATAGAATTATGAATTAAAGGAATTGTTGACGTCATTCACAACAGCAAGCCTTCATCTCAGCAACAATGAGTAAAATAAAAACATTTAAGTTGAAAACTGATGAATTCTGACAATTTTCCGCTTTTCCTCTTGTAAAAAGACCGCAATTTTGAATTTTCAATTTTCACAAAGAAAAACAGGGATAACTTTTTTATAACAATAAAATTCTGAATTTATATTTCACTACATTTTCGATTTTAACTTTTAATTGTTGCTTCTTTCTTTCGTTTTTTAAATACATATTTAACCACATATAAACATTCCTTGAGATCATGTGAGGTTCGACAAAAAATTTGGGCCCGATCGGTTCAGCCGTTTAGACATTTATCGGTTACAGCCAAACACACAAATAAACAAATCATATATATTCCGGAATTCCAGAACAGTTTCGGAAATTTCCAGTTTACCGCAAATAATAGTTCAGGAATTCCGGAATCTATTCCATAATGGAAAAAATTCCGGATCATTTATGTATTTATACAGTAACTTGGAATTCCAGTGGAAACCCTATCTCAAAATTAGCTAAATCAAGTTGAGAGTATTTGTAAAATATATTAATTTAAATGTTACAACGGATGTAAAAAGTTTGGCGAGCTCCGCACACAAAGTTTCCTTGAAAATAGTTTTACATCTCCAGGGACACCAGGAGGAGAATGTTAACTACATTAAAATCAGAAATTATAATTTCAAGTTACATTTTCATTTTTGGAGCAAATCAGATGTCTTTTTTATATTTAATTTGATTTTTATTTCCACGATTTAAAATAAAAACCTCTAAGTTACTAATCAATTGTGTATGAATAATCTTTCCTATACAGTGAACAAAGATATTTTAAAAGGACCATACCCCCCCTGTATCTGCCCCTGGGTGCGTTTAATTTGAAGTCATCGTCTATTGAATTTGACCGTCTCCTGTTCTGTTTGCAATGGATCAACAACCCTTTGTACATGTTAAACGGATCAATTTTCAACTATAGCTAATGAAACTCTACATTTTAACAACATTAAGCTTTCAAGGATTTATCAAATTTCCTTTGCAAAACTATCCGCATATTTAAGTGTATTTGACTTTTGGAATTTTAAGTCAATCGAGTTTTGGTCTAAATTTCAATAAATATTAAACGTATAGGGCCATTTTATTTTTTCAGTTGAAACCAAATAAAATATTTAGATGGTCAAATTTGGATCGAAAGTCACAACCGCATTGTTATGTCAGTGTTTTACTCCTTAAATTTCACAATTTCACACTTGACTAAGTTTGTGCATTAATATAATTTAAGGTCTAAGCTATCCAAGAATATTAACTATTGTATAGATGTGCAGTTATTAATAATTTTTAGATATCGAACCTTTTTTCGATTCTTGGATGATAAATAACTTTTTTATATAGTAATTAAATTTCGAATTTTACAAACTGAATAGAAAATTTATAAAAATGAGTTTTGATCCAAAAGTGAAAATAAATTGGAAATTACAATTTTTAAATTTATTCATACGTTTGAAAAAACCTTACACGGGCTAAACCTCTACCCCCCCCCCCATCCAAGCCCGACTGAGTCTGTAAAATGCACATAAAATAAAAGATATTTTGTTCAAATTTATTATTGGTAAATCTATAAGTGAGCCTCATTTTAAGTTTTATTAAATTATATATTAAATTTCTATTTGATAAATCTTCCAGTGTCTGAAGTGAACATTTTTCACATTTTAATATTAAGACACTTAACAATTTTATAAGAGCATTGTGAAATTAATTATACTAAAGGTTATGAGCCAAAAATATAAAAAACAGGACATTATTTTAACAATATTTCATAACTAATGTATTCACAAACCATCCCCTGTTAAAAGGGTTTGTTAACATAACTTCAAGGGACCCTCCATTGAAAGAATTAAATGCCCAATTCACAACGGTACCTTTAACCCTGCGCAAAAATGTTTTTCTGAAAAATGAATTTCAATTAATCGCGGGGTTTTATGCGAGACTCAGAAACAGGGAAGGAAATTGACAGAGATAGTCTTGACTAACCATTCAGTCCTTATAGTTATAGACATTTAAAGGGTATATACCTCGTTGTTAATCAATCATTTATAAAGGGAGAGTCTTGAATGACAATTCAGTCCTTATAGTTAAAGACATTTAAAGGGTAGATACCTCGTTGTGAATCAATCATTTATAAAGGGAGAGTCTTGAATGACAATTCAGTCCTTATAGTTATAGACATTTAAAGGGTATATACCCCGTTGTGAATCAATCATTTATAAAGGGAGAGTCTTGACTAACAATTCAGTCCTTATAGTTATAGACATTTAAAGGGTATTAAACCCGTTGTGAATCAATCATTTATAAAGGGAGGATCGCTTGATATTACGTTCCTTTAATCGGTTTAGTTGGTTCCTGTTCTTAATTTTTCTTGATGAAGCATTATAATAAATGTGTTATGAGAAACTGAATTTAATATTAATTTTTTTCACAATAAGATAAGACTGAACAAGAAGTGAAATAGGAAAGACAGTGCAGTATTGTGAGTAGGGGGAGGGGGG